CTCTTTTTCCTCGACTTTCAACTACGGAAATAATACGACGTGAATGAAATATGTATGAGTCGATGGCTTCTCGTTTTCCGGTGAACCAATTATCGAAGATACCAATAACTTCCCTGAAGGAGAGCTATCGTTTGAGTTATTAAATTTCAAATATTTCTTTTACCAAAATCAGAACCGACATTAGTCACTATCTAGAGAAAAGTCTCTTTCGTCGAATTTCACGAAAGACCTGGACAATGCTTCGTTTAGAACTAAAAGAACATCTGTGGATTACGAAAGATCAGACATTCGTTATTGGCTAACGATCCGTTAGAGAAAAAACGTACCTTTAGAGTTTTATTTCTTCTATTCTTTTCGTTGAATCGACGTAATTAAAAGGAAAGAGCTCATGAGTAAGTAAATACGAGATATTTGATTAAAGATATTTTATAGAAAATATTAAATCTATTGAATCTAAGTGAAAAATAGGTAATGTGACGGGATGAAAATAAATGTAGTCTCTTCCGTGTGTTCCTTCGCGAAACTCTCAGCGATCGATATGCGAATTTCCCTGAATAAGCTAGGGTTGACAAGGGAACGATTCACTGAATGGATATCGTTTGAGAAAGAAAGGGAGGTTTCCATTATTACGACTATAGCTATAAGTAAATTCGATATTCGAGTAAGAATATTACTGATTCCTTAGACGATTAGGTTTAAAAATAATATTTTAGAAAACGGATGATAAAATTAATATATTTGCTTCGTTTCTTTAAAAGTTTGAAGACTTTAATTTATATCCGTAGATTTTTCAACGGGGAAGTTAATAACGGTTAGGTTATCTGACGTTTAAATCAGGAGTATATGAAAGTTCGATTCTTTCACTGGCGTTTAGTTCTATCTCTTTCTCACTTTTTTATTTTAACACCAAATCTTTATCGGTATCAGCTGTCGAAGCTAAAGGTTGCAATGTATCGCACACATGGCGACACTTTAATAGCACGCTATAGACAAGAAGATTAAGACGAGCCATGAGCGTGTGCCGAATGTAACGGGTTATTGCTTTTACGAAAGTTTTAACTTCCACCCACCATTCCTTGTTCTATCTCAAGATGTTCCAAAGTCGACTTATCTGCCAACTTTAACTGAATAAATTTATTCCTATCACGAAATACACAGAAATACCTAGAAGATTATTTTTTTTCCCTTACTATAGTGTGAAATATTTTTATTGTTTATCTCCGAACTAGCTTTCATTTACGTAATTACTACTTGGAATGATTTAATCGAATAATTAAGAGAAACTAGGGAAGAAACTATTGAAGTTGCAAGTTGAAAGAGCTCGATAGGATAAAGGACAAAGTCGTCGATGTTGAATATGTAGAAGTAAAATAATGCGTAGAGTATTATGTATTCTTGATTGTACTAGAAGTTCTACTGTCTCGTGATTCACGTAACGATGTGGGTCTACGAGGTTGAGAACTTTACACTGCGCATCTTGAGAATACAGAGGGCTCGATGCTTAGTTCTAACAATAAGCAAATCCACTATTTAAAGGCAATTAGAAACTCGTCAAAAAGGTAAGCATGTAAATCCTGCTTATTTTTCATGTTTTTCGATAAAATTTTATTAACGAATTCGACCATTAGAAATTCTAATTTATAAGATAGACGAAAGAAGGGAAACAAAGAAAAAATACAAAGAGGAAAAAGAAAATTAGAAGAAGGCGATTGATCTAAGGTCGAAAAAAAGGTGATGGTGCTTATTTCGCGATGTTTTACTCGTGCAAGTAACTGCAAGACTAGGTCATACTTTTCTAGAGAATGCAAGTGTCATGGTACGAGCGGCCTGAGTGCATTGAAAAGATGAAAGGCGAAATTCTACCATTCACGGTATGCCAGCAAACCCGATGGAAGTCAATTCGTCGCGAGCGTGCATGTGAGAAAATAACTGATGTGTAATAATAACTGGTATGCAATTCGGGACAAAGACCGGTACTAGCTTTTGTTTCATGCCAACAGGAACATTTAAAAGGCGAGGATAAAACACATGTCAAATATCTTTTGGATATCAGAAAAGTCGTGAAAGAAATTATTGTATGTGTCGATGTTCATCACACAACACGTTCTGTGAATTAAATCGGCAACAAATCATTATTCTTAACAAGACGAATGCAAAGTGTGATCCAAGAAATATTTTTATCAAGTATTATTATTACAAGAAATTTATTAAGATCACATCTGCCAAATATTCAGGGAACCAACGACGCTTTTCTAAAGCGTGATAATTTTTATCTCGTAAAGTAATTAAAGTCGATGTTTTTTTTTTCAACTAGCGAATATTTGAGTCTCATAGCTGCAAAAGTTTTTTCTTTTGTTATTAATAGAAATCACACATTCATAAAATAGATTAAAAATTTCTTCGTAAGAAATTAGTTTATACGCTCAAGCTCGATCCATACAACTTTTGTGAGGATGCCAGCCTGTAATTATTCCAAGCTCCATTGGATTTCACAGACGGTCATTTCCAGAACATCACGCGTCGCTGTGTTCCCACATCTGTCGATTTATGCCACTCCGAATTAGCTTCGTTTATTGCAAAGCCCTAATTGCTAATTAATCTAACCGAATTTCAATTAAATTTCAACCATCGTTCTTTTTCTTTTCTATCCTCCTCTTTTTTCTTCTAATCTTTCTTTTTCAATTAAAAACGCCTTCTCTAAATATGAGCGTGTAAGTAATTAGCGAAAAAGGTTTTTGTAGAATCCTTATCTAACTTAATGCGTATTTATTTGAAATTTTCATAAAGCGTAAGGAAGATTTAAATGTTGTATAAGTCAAAGCTAACATTCATCTCTAAAATAAAGTTTTTTTGAATAATTAAATTATATTATATAAACATTTTAAACTCTTCTCAAATACAAATATGTTAAGTTAACAATTTTCCTAATGCCTGATTTGTAAACACTTACACAAGTATAAGCTTTATCAGTTTTATATATATATATATATATATATCTTACGTCACTGTATTTAAATATTAAACCCGCAAGAATTTTATTCCCGAGATATTGTTCGCGTACTTCGCGTTCATAGTTACGCATGAATATTTACAAAAGGGAGGAAGACTTGCAGAGTAAACACTTTTAGTGTTGTTCCATGCAAAGATAGTCAGTTGGTTTTTCTTAAGGATTAGAGGTATGCCTGGAAAGTAAATATTGACGCATGGTCACACATTCTTGAATAAAAGAAATATAATACATTAATAAATATCTATCCATATTATATAATCATTTATCTCTTCAATGGTTTCACTATTTAACAAACATTATTATCTAACAGGATCGCTTCTATATGCAACCGACGTGGTGTTGACCGCATCATAATGGACAAACATTTCAATGTAATAGGAGGCCACTAAATAGATCGAAACTACTTTCCTAAGTCGTATCTATAAAGACGATAGTTATCACTATAATTATTATTGGTAATTACTTCGTAAAGTTGTTTAATGTCGATAGTCTCACAAGATATCATCCTACCAATGGGATTTTCTCTTAATTAGGGATTCGTGTAATTTAAATTTAATTTTTTAAGTTCGGAGAATTTTTTTTAATAAAAAATTCACAAAGTTAGGATCATTGATATTACGTGAATTACCGAGTGTCTCGTTAATTTTGTCCACTTAATTCCTCGGAGTCTCTTACATTATACATACCACATTACAAGTAAACTCGCTTACCGACACGTTTTATTTCTCACGAGAGGATTAGCCCAACAAATTATCATCCTAGTCTTATAATTTTAATGGTGGATGAGATCCTCCGAAAAATAAGTTTGTCGCAAAGAAAATTAAATGATTTTTTTTAAAGAATACATTTTCTTAACCTGATTCGAGGGTAATCAAAATAACAAATAAAGTTGATTGTTTCGATTATCTCAAAAAACAATTTAATTTGAAAACTCTCGTAAAGCATATTCAAATTTCATTTTTCTTTATTGGTTCTTCCGTGAACAGCGCGTGCTCTAATAATTTGTGTTGTGCCATCATGAACGGAGGAACTACATCAATGCACGGTATCGTTATTTGAATTATTTCGAGTATCCTCGCAATTAGTAACTTGAAATTATCGAAATTTCTCGGCGCTGATCATCGAAATATGTTCAGAAAGTATTATCAAAGAATTTATAATAATATCATCATATAATTCATTTAAATGAATTTCTTTCGTTTCATTTTTTATAATACGTATCTTTGAATGATCAAACCATTGAAAGAAATCTGATAATAACTATCGGTGACATATAATCACGAGGGAGTTCAACTTCTGAAAGTGAAAACAAAGGCAGTACGACAATTGTAATCCCCACTGCGATCTACGATCGCGTAGTTTTAAAAGCTGGCTTGAACAAAGTCGTCGAGCGGTTGACGCAAATCGAATCGATTCTGTCGCAAATTGTCAGGGAAAACTTACAAACGTCACGACTCATTTAACCACGAAACTCTCTCTACTACCCCCCCTCTCTTTGTACACGTCGTCACGAACACGATGCAACAGGTAAAGGTAATGTGCTAAGATCGCATGATGCAATTAATTTTTTAACACCTCGTCGTTAAGATTGTTAGAACTAAAGATTTGTTAAAAAATCCAAAATCCAGAGTAGTTGGAAATTAACTCTCGAAATTCAGTAAATTATTCGACATCCAAAGCAATGAGATTCTTTTATGTGTTTTTCTCCTTTTTTATGGGGTATCATCATACGCGAACAGGTACAACGTGACCAAGTAAAAAACACTTCTGCTCTCGCAACGATAAAAGCCGGTTTACAGACTCGATAGCTTTAATACGGTGCCCGTTTATACTTGGGAAAGTATTTTATAGTAATAGGTAAGTAGTGCAATGAAAAATAAATAAAAGACATCCAGATAATTTGTATATGATGAAATCTTGTTTTTATTATTACGTCGATTGAAAATGGGCAAAATTACAGATCTAACTTTGACCTCAATCATTTTCTTACCTTTTATGGTGGATAAGCGATATGTTGTTTTGAATGTGGAATGATACACCTCAGTCTTCTGTAAGTATGCGTCAATAACAGTGGACATAAAGGTGCTGAGCTTCCTCTATCCAAATTGGCCTCGTAGAAGATCACCACTTCGTGCAACACCATTGCAACTGACTTGATTAACGAGAGCGAACTTTGTACACAATGATAATTATATATGCAAGAGAAAGAGAAAGGGAGAGAGAGAGAGAGAGAGAGAGAACGAGATAGTCACGTAGGGTATTTAGGGATAGTTGGAAATTGGCAAAGCCGATCGAACGTACGAAAATCGTCAGCGTATTTTCCCACGTCGCCACATCCGTCACTCGCACGATCCTTCAATTCCTCTATCACACATGCAATACATATATACATATATGTATGCTTAAACAGCAACGAGTCACTGTGCTCTTCGATATCGTCACGCTTTTACGTCGACCGACCGCACATACGTTCGTCCGCCGTTACGCCTGTAACATTGTTAAATCACGTGTCACTCCTGCTGCTCCTTCATATTCTTTTTGTATAACGATCATCCGATCTTTTAGATCAAAACAAAAATCATCATTTGAATATGAACTTATGGAAAGAAAAATAAGGGTTACGGATAAATGCATGATCTTTATCAACATCATTCAGATAATATTACTGAATGTTCATTAACAAAGATGTTGAATTTCAAAATGCTTTGTTAATCAAAATGTTTTAACAACAACTCTCATACGCGAGCTTTTCAATTAAGACTAAAATTTCACTGAATTATCCATCGAAAGAAGTAACTATAAGCGAAGGAATATTTAATCTCGAAAAGTTGGCGAAATAAGAAGAACAACAATGCTGTTGTTTACTCTGCAATGTAATCGAAAGTAAGGAGAACGAGAAATATGGGGAGAAAGAGAGAGTTTCAGCTTGTATTTTGTGAGTGCCCGTTGCGTTTGCAACATTGCTTGGAAAAAAGCAAACGAATTCAGAACGAACTTTCTTTCGCTTCTAAACGAGAAAAAGAGATAGAGACAAATAAAAAACGAAAGAGGAAAAGAGAGAGGAAGAGAGAGAGAGAGAGAGAGAGAGAGAGAGAGAGAGATGGAGAGAGGAAGAGAGAAGAGGTCACCCCTACTAGATTATCGCAACTCCTCGATCGAAATGTTCCTTCCGTCCAAACCATCTATTCTCGAGACTTCGTATGATGAATATAAATATTTTAAAAGTTCTCGACAATAGCTATAAATCTTTCCTAAAACACATATTCGTGCAATAAATTTTTTTGCATCGATAATCATCGAGCATCACTATAAGACGGAATGCAGACGAGAATCCAAACTTTCATTTCTTCTTATCACAATATTATGATCCTTTATCTTCTACAACAACAATGAAATATTGAATAAGAGTTATTTTAGATAAGAATGAAATAATTGAAAGCATCTACCGTTAGTGATAACACACGATAATACATATACGGACATACACATACACAACATGGAGGATGAATATGTAGAACAAGTAGGAGAAACACAGAATCCGCATTTAAACGGATAAGGCACATGCCGTGCTCGTTGTGGTCACGTTGCGATGAGGCAATAATTTTTCTCTCGTCGAAAAAAAAGAAAATCTGAAACAAAAATTCAACGAAGAGGATTGGAGAAATCTCTGTTCATTTCAAGGCCCAACGAAGAAAAACATTCCAATGAGATGATCCTCTGTTAGCATTAAATTATTCGTATGAGGACCCCAAGGAAGACCGAACAACCATTCTTGCCTCTCCACTTGTTAAGTCAGCAAGAAATCTTCACATATCACGTTTAGCTCCCATGAGAAAGATAGAGATAACGAAGGAGAAAGACAGGGACATTTCCTTTTCTTTAAAGAAAAGGAAATGACAAAAGAAATTCAAAGGTTTTCTACCCTAATACGTTTTCTCTTTTTTTATGATCTCTTTCACTCAATCATACCTTTACTACTAAAAAGGATTTGTAGAGAAGAATGAATACATTTGACTTTTTCTAAAACATTTCCACCCCTTTATTTCTCTCTCTCTCTCTCTCCCCGCAGTAACACCGATGCTTCGTACAACACACGAAAGACTCAACACTTGATAGACGAGTAGGGGATGACATCGAAGTATGCAAGTGAAAAAAGGAAGGGACGTGTAGCAGCAAAGAAGGACACAATTCGAACGTGATCTTTGAACACTGTTTACACGCACGCGACGAGAGGCGCCATGGTCACTGCCGGCTACAGTGCTCTTCCTCTCCGATAATCACCACCGTCTTGAACGAAGTATCCTCAGTCGATTTCGTCCTGGAAAAGGAGGATGAAGGGAGCAAAGCCCCAGAGCCATATCGTCCTCCCGATGCTTCCGACGACGCCTCGGTGGAGTCTCGTATTCGGCCTCTTCTCGATATCATCGTCGCGATAAGGCACGGCAGACCAACCGTCCATTCATCTCTGTGCAATCCTGCTATTCGAGATACGTCGCAAGCACACACGAGGACGCACGCGTCTCTACGCGCGAACGCGCGCGCGCACACACGCTCTTCTCCTCTTTCTCAACCTCTATCTTTCTCTCTCTTTCTCTCCCCCTCTCTCTCTCTCTCTCTCTCTGTCTCTCTCCCTCTCTCGCTCTTCCCTTCTCGTCGTTATCCGTCCTATCCTTTCGAGGATAGTCCCTCTCTACTACACGCGCGCACGCTACTGCTATATCTCTCTTTCTCTCTCCCTCTCTCTCTCTCTCTCCCTATCTCTCTCTCTCTCTCCTCAACCCTCTCGCGCGCGCCACCCTCTCTCTTCGGGGCTCTCTCGCTCGACCTCAAAGCGACCGCTGCTGCTGCTCCAGTGGTGCGTCGCATGCAGGAGCTTTCGTTAGACTAAGCTCCGCTGGAACTAGCGCCACGCCCTCAGAGCAGGTGGCAGCACCTGCCGCAAAATCCTTTAACTATCTCTTTCTTTCTCTCCCTCTTTTTCCCCTTTCTTTTTCTGTCTCCTGTTTAAGAAAGGGATGAAGACCCTTTACTAATATTTCTCGCTCTTTCTCAGCCAGCTTGTTATCGTACAGAATCCGTCAGTCTTTCTGGAACATTGATACTACATCGTACTTTTGTACGTTATTCCCAAAGACTCTTTAACTTCTGAGAATATTATCTTCGAATTTTTATTCGAGCTAAGTTGTTTCGTTTTATCTTCGTTCAAGTCTTTTTGATGTTCGCAAATCCATGCTATATTATTCTACTTGAAGTTGGTTAATACTATGATACGTTTAAACGTTAATAATTAATGGTCGAACTACGGTAGTCGAACGTAAGTAATAAACTGCGACGGAGAAAAGAAACTCGAGGATGCTCAGACTCGTCAAGCAGGTACATTACCACCACCCTTAGACGATTACAATGCACTCTCCTTCTTTCTCTTTGTCTTTCTTTGTCTCCACATTTTCCCGCATTGTACGACACTGAAACACGCGCACCGGATGTGTAGGCGCGAAATATGCGACGCACGCGATGCAAGGACTCACGTGATCTTTTCACTCAATTGTTCGATACCTTCTTTCTTATATAAAATTATCGTAAAAAATTTATAAATCCGAGTACGTAAAAATTACTCTACGTATGCAACATCATTGGATAATCATGGATAACCAATTTAAACGGGGTGCTGCATTAATGTACAGATAATTGGATTACAGGTAGTTCCTATAGACGTAGGGTAATATCATTGAAAGATAAAAGTACAGAAAAAGGGAGAGCCTAGTGACACTAATTATACTACAGGATCATATTCGAACTGACCTCTAAAAACGTACTAATTTTGGATTGTTACGTTTTTTGTGGATCTGTTATGGTAAAAATTTCATTACCAGTGAAAAAATCGAGATAATTTTCTACGCGCGAATTTTTTATAATCAACGAAAGACTGCCCATAGCCTGCTATTTCCCTTGGGTTATCTATAAAACGTCGCGTATCCACTCGAAAAGTTCCACGATCTTGTCTTATCGTAACTCACCAACAAAAAGAAGAAAAAGAGTTCACGATAATGCTTACATGATACATTAAACCGTACTAACCGAAATAATCTTGGTCGTTATTCCTTCGATGTCTGACGTAAAAGTTGAGAGTATCGAGAAATCGACGACAATAAAACATAAATTCTATCGGAACGTTTCCAAGTTTCTTCGCGTAATTAATTTTACGCATATGCATTTCCCCACTGTGATTAATGCCCTAGGCCACTTCCTACTATCGAGAGAATCGGTGTATCGTTGGTGAGATTGTTCGTTCTGGAGTTTCCATAATTTATCGCAACTGTCGATATGTAATCGCTGCCAGAAATGTAGCCCGCGCATCGCCAAACTTTTGCGGGGCCTTGTGCATCGACCGTGACGAAGAACGTGAGTATGGAAGCATGTAAACGGATATATATGTAAGCTAAGAAAGAAAACTAAGGGCTGAGAAATAAGAGAACAAAGAGAATCGAAATGTGTGGGAATACAAAAGTAATAGATCTCTTTCTATATAAGCGTCACGGTGGAAAGGGAAATGGAATAAAGTAGGTGTTTCAGTAAGGTTAGGAACGATTACACTTGCAGATGCCTCGACCATTGGTTTTCGCCATTAGATCAATCTTCTACTACTGTGAACGAAGCACTTGGAGAAACAGTGCTATTTCAAGAACAAGTCCGTTGTTTCTAGAGAGAGTGAGTTCACGCTCTCTAGATAAATTATACCTGACCATACAAGATCGAGACCAAAGATAATAATTCAAATGTTAATTGGGTAGCTAAATTGGTCCTACCAGTTTGTGGCCTACTGATCTATCAAAGTTCTCGCTTTTGTTCATGGCAATCTCTGTGTCTGGCCGTTTGCCCCTTCTTGGTGAAGAACACGAACTACGTTTCCTCAGAAAAACAGGCCAACGTTAGGCAGGGACGGGTCGGCATCAATAGCGATAACAATCAACGCTTCCCAATTTCGTCCCTATCATACAAAAATAGGATCAATAAATTGTATTATGTTTATTGATCCTATTTTGCCTTATTATGCCTATTTATTCAATATATTTGATAATTAATTCGACCACAATATGAATCACAATGAAAAATTGTCTTGAGTATTTCTCAAGACAATTTTTACAAAAACTCGTTTCCAACTACTCATTAATGAGTTTCAGTGTGTCATATGTCATGATAAAGTATGTCATACAAATAAAAAGTATGATTCTTTAACTCGATACTTTGTAAAACTTCATTTTGAAAATTTCTTCATTCCCTCTTATTAGATAGTGCGCATATCGGAAATCATATAGCAGATAAATTTCTTCGATTATTATTGAAAGACATACGATGGAGAAATACGGTAATACGTCACGATGACATAACGAGGTTAATGAGTACTCACCGTGCTCGTTAAGGGATGAAAAAGAAGCAGACTAGTTCCGTGCGGACTATATTACCGTCACGAAAGAGAAAGAGTAGTAACAGAGCATTCGGAGTTTATCCCTTCCAGGGTGAAATGTTGCTCTCCACAATGTACGGGGGTTCGCCTGATGGTTGGTTATCTCAAATATTTGTTTTACTAACAGTACAAACAATTGACCCAATTGATTTTCCGGACCCCTGCTTCAACTCCCTCACCCCTCTCTCTCTCTCTCTCTCTCTCTTTCTCTCTTTCTCTCTTCTGCTTCATCTAAAGGTAGAGTTTCACTCTCCACACGTAACGTGGCTATGCATTAGGATGTTTCATTAGCGATCAAAGGATATCCTGTTCGGTCGAAGTCACTCGAACGAAAATTTGCATTTCGATGCGGTGGCCCCGATTGACGAACTCGTCTTTGTATTAAACTAAAGCCGAGCTCTCCCACTCTCCCTCTCCCTCTCTCCCTCTCTCTCTCTTTCTCTCTCTTTGCGGTGTTAAACGTTCAACGAATGTCTTCGTTGAGATCACCGAGCGAAAGATCTTCGATTCGATTCCATTCCATCGGATACATTCAAGAGATCACTGAGGTTGCTACTACGTGATATGAATATAAATGGAGTTGCTTTTATTATGATTATATCTAGGTAGTTATCATTCCTGTAGGATTTCGTTGCCCTTCCGAATTACATGAGTTATATGTCCGGATCAGTTTAATCCTATAATGATCAATTCGTGGAAGAAAGTTCTAGGACGATCCCGACTTCTTCGAAGAAAGATCTCAAGCTTGATTCGATGTAAAAAGTATCACTCATTTACACCAAAACATGCTTTTCAAATTGTTTTCTTTCAAGAAGAAAATGCTTTGTTATTGTAACTAAAATCTTTATAAACGCATCTGCATAAATATCGCTCAAAGTTTTTCTTCAGCGTAGCTCTTTGTACTTTAGGATTTATTAAATCCGGAATAAAGATCGCTGTCTAAGTGAAAAAAAGAGAATAAGAAATGGCAAAACGAATAATAAGGAGAAAATGGAAAAATTTATATGGCTTTGTCGCAAAGCGGATACGAAAAATCTCTAATAATGTCGCCCGTGTCCTTATAGCGATCTGCTTGAGAACAGAAAAACGAATGAAAAAAGAAAAAGAAAAAAGGAAAGAAATTTGGAAGAGGTCGTCCAGTGCAAAAACGAGTTGGTAATTCGCCAAGCAAAACGTTCGCTTCATAAACACATTGGACGAATTCCAGGCATATTCGTATAAACATTTTATACGTTAATTATCTCAAGCTGTTTCCCGCGCTCTGATTCCGAATCAAAGTTGGCGCGGGCTTCATAACAAGAGATTAGAAAAGTATTCAACCAACGATTATCGCTTTGTGAAATGAGCTTTCGTTTTTTTCAAATTACCATTATGTAGGACTATAATCTTGATTGTTACTACTTAAAGTAGAATGTTGCCATACTGATTTCGTATGATACCGAAGCTTTCTCACGTAACATGCCAGTGAAGTAAACAAATTTCAAAGCGGTATAATCCACTTTGATCATCGACGACGTACCTCAGAGAGATACCTCATTTACAACTCAAATTTGAAGTGAAAGATATCCACCACCGATATTAGGCGATTAAATATGCCACGAAAGAGCCATGTAAGTAGAAGTTATCGCGTGGAATTAATTAACATCAAAAAAATCACATTATGATTCCTAGTTTATAGACGAAACGAGGTCGATGCGCTTTGTAATTCCACTTTTTTTTCTCTTTACTTTCCCTTTAAAGAATTTGAAAAAAATGAAAAAATGAAAAAATGAAAAACGAAAACTATTATTTATTTTAAAATGAAACGTTTTATTATTTTTTTCAAATATAATTATAAATAATTTAAATGTCTTCTTATTTCTAATTTAATTTCAATATAATATAAAATTACGATTTGCCGAAAATTTTTATTTTATTACAAAGTAATAATTATTCCTTTTTTAATACTTACTTATATCTAGTTATATCTAAAAAAAAGTTTCATAACATTTTTTAATCCTTATATATACATTGTATATTTTCTTATTTTATTTCCTTATAATATATTTTTGATAGATTAATTATTGTGTTTCTAAAGCACCACTTGACGTAGCATAGTTGATACAGTTCTGGTCGAAATTTCCTCAAAATAACACTAGAGAGCACTTTCATCAATTCTAGAGTGCGCTTCGTTTCATAAATGTGATGTAACGCGCTTTAAGCGCCATCTTGAAACGAAGTGCATCTAATGTGGACAAAAAGAATTACAACTCTTGATGACACTGAACGTATAATTTTGTTGTCCAAAATTAATTTGTTCTTTCTTAAATGCTTTTCGTGCATTAAATGGTGACTGGATTTCTTGTTTTTTTTTTCGAATTGAAATAATTCTCTTTAATATACCATTAACTACTGTTAATAGATATTAATTATTTTATATCAAGAAATTCGTCGTGAATTGTAAATAATGTATTGCTATTAACAATCGCAATACTTTCTAACCATATTTTTGTACAATTACAAAATAAAGTACAAAAATATCTATTGATATCATCATTATTTATTCAATGAAAGCAAAGCTGCAATCATTGTTTGTCACCGTACATTTAGTACCTGATCTTTATAATACACATCTTGCCATTAACTCTATAGCATTGATGTTTTAATTCATTTTATTTGATACCATCTAAACATCTTGATGCTATTTAACCAATTGCATCTATCAGGAAATAAATATGTAAATACCTACAATACAATTGATGATATTTGTAGGATGTGAATGAGTGTTGAAATAAAAGATCGTAATACGAATGTAACCCTAGAAGCAGCAAATTTCGACACTAGTGTCTTTACTAGTATCAATCTTTACCACAAGGCAGCACGACTAATAGTGACAACAGCACCTCCTGTCATGGTAGACAGCAATACTGAAGATCTTGGTTCTTTATACAAGTTTGTTCCATCTGGGGGATCTTTTAACATACCGTGGCGTGGTCACACCGGATGTAACCTTTTTTTTCGCTTTCTTACTCAACAATAAGAATTCTTGTATATGTTCAACGAAAAAAAGCACAACCGTTATAAAAAATATCGAAATTCGCGTACGAAGGAATTTCATATAACTTCACGTTAATACATAGATATATGCTATGTTCGGCCGTAGCATAATCATGGCGACCAACAAATCACAACGACTGGACGATCTCGTACAAACGGTTACTCTACACAATCCGCGAAAATTATTATTCAATGGTTACGTCTTACCTTTCATAGTATTGCAATTAGTGTGGATTTATAGTTGGATATTTGTTTACGGTTTCAATGAATATTACGAAGCAGGTCTGATTGGAATCGTTGCAATCAGTGTACTACAAATTTTTATCTGCTTGTGCTGTCAATGGTCTGTGCATGTGCATACCTTTTTAAATTGCAGTTCGGTAAGTATACATGGTTGATTTGTGAATTAAATTTTTCTTTATTTATTTACTATCAAAATCCAATTAGCCGGAACAATATGTACACTGTCGTGGCTGCCATTCGAACGAATGTTTCGTCTTCTGCTATACGAAGTCACATGACTAATAAAGCGGGAAGATATGATTTTTTAAATTCTAACGAAAAGAAATATATGGAATTCTTTTTAATTTGTCTTTACGATCTTTTCATATTATATTTTGATGTACTTTATTATTTGATTAATTCGAAATAAATTTAATAATATAGTAGTTTCAAAGAAATTATATAACATTTATTAATGTAGTAATTAAAGAAAATTTGATATATTAGGAAAAGAATCCATATATAGCAAAGGTAGCAAAGGTGGTGCCTGTTCCAAATAATGGAAGTTCAGAACTTGTAAAATTAAATCATGCAGACAAACAAGAACCATGGTTTGTATTTCAAAAAACGAAATATTATTGGGAGCCAAATGAAAAATGTTTTAAAAGTCTTCAATTTCCAATCAATCAATCAATTAAACATTATGCTGAATGGAAGGGATATATTGATGAGAAGGAAGTCACAGCTGCTGAGGAAAAATGTGGTAAAAATAAGTGGGTTCATAATTTAAAAATGATTTTAATAATATTGTAAAACAAAAAAAAAAGATTAATTTAACAAGATATTATAATTTTATTTTTATTTAGATTGGATATGTTTGTACCAGAGTTTTGGGAACTTTTTAAGGAAAGAGCAATAGCACCATTCTTTGTTTTTCAAGTATTTTGCGTGGCACTTTGGTGTCTTGATAAATATTGGTATTATAGTATTTTCACTCTTATTATGCTTATTATGTTTGAATGTACGCTTGTACAACAGCAACTCAGAAACATGGCTGAAATACGAAAAATGGGAAACAAACCATATATGATAATGGTCAGTATAATTAATAGTCCATATCAATGAATTTTATAATGATGTAAATTTAATATTCAAGGTTTATAGAAACAGAAGATGGCGTTATATGTTCACTGATCAATTAGTTCCCGGTGATATTGTTTCAATAACAAGATCACAAAATGATAATTTAGTTCCATGTGATATGTTATTATTAAGAGGCCCATGTATTGTGGATGAAAGTATGCTAACAGGTAATTGTTGTAATATCTTATTAATTTAAATATTTACAAATCAATTACATCTCAATTAAATCATTTCTTTTTTTACAGGTGAATCTGTTCTTCAAATGAAAGAACCAATAGATGATATAGATGGAAATAGAGATTTAAATATAGAAGGCGATGATAAACTTCATGTATTATTTGGAGGAACAAAAGTAGTACAACATACACCACCCAGTAAAAATGTGTCAGGTCTCAGAGGTATGCATTTTAAAACAACAATTGAAATATAAAAGAGAATTAAATTGTGTTTGTATATTTTAGCTGTTGATAATGGCTGTGTTGCTTATGTTTTGCGTACTGGATTTTCAACATCACAGGGTAAACTCTTAAGAACCATCTTATTTGGAGTTAAACGTGTTACAGCAAATAATCTTGAAACATTTGGATTCATTCTATTTCTTCTGATATTTGCAATTGGTGCTGCGGCTTATGTTTGGATCAAAGGTTTAATTCTACTAATTTTGTAATTAAAAATAATCAAACGTGATATTTTTATTTTACAGAAGAAAACTTATGCTAATAATATTTTTAGGCAGTGAGGATCCAACAAGAAATAAGTACAAGTTATTTTTAGAGTGTACACTTATTCTTACATCCGTTGTACCACCAGAATTACCCATTGAATTGTCATTGGCTGTAAACACTTCCTTGTTAGCTTTATCTAAATTAGGTATTTAAAAAATGTTACTAATATTAAACTTTTATCTCTTATTTATGTGCCACGTAGCCATGATATTAAAATGCAAATTATTTTTAGGAGTATTTTGTACAGAACCTTTTAGGATACCATTCGCAGGGAAAGTTGAAATTTGTTGTTTCGATAAAACTGGAACTTTGACTAGTGATAATCTTGTTGTCGAAGGGATAGCAGGGATTGAGTATGCATAATTTATGTAGTATGTAATTATAAACATTAAAAAGTAAATTTATTGATTTTTATACTTTACGTATTTTAGTGGTAAAACAGATGTGATGCCAATCTCAGATGCACGTTTAGAAAGTGTGCAAGTACTTGCAACATGCCATTCTCTTGTTCAGTTGGACGATGGAATAGTCGGAGATCCACTTGAGAAAGCTACACTGAAAGCTGTAAATTGGAGCCTCACTAAAAGTATGTTATATCATATTAATGTCGTTTAAGATTTTTATAAAAAAAAAAAACTATTTATGTTATATAGGTGATTCTGTAATACCAAAAAAAGGCAAATCACCTGTACTAAAGATTTTACAAAGACATCATTTCTCATCTGCATTAAAAAGAATGTCAGTTGTCGCAGGATATACATCACCAGGTTCATCTGAAAATCATTACATAGTTACAGTAAAAGGTGCACCTGAAACTATAAAGAATATGGTTAGAATTTATATAATATTATAATATTAAAGTGTTTCTTTTTATATAATAATTTGTTTTATATAAGTTCAATATTATTTCAGTTATCTTCTATCCCTGATAATTATGATTCAACGTATTTATCTCTTTCTCGTCGTGGTGCAAGAGTATTAGCTTTGGGTTATCGTAAGCTTTCAACTCCAATATCTGCCCAGGAATTGAGAGAGTTTACTCGGGAAGATTTAGAAAAAAATCTTTTATTTGCTGGATTTGTTATTATAAGTTGTCCACTTAAACCAGACTCTAAGGCAGTTATAAAAGAAATACTCAACGCTTCTCATTCTGTAAGATAAATTGATTAGAAATATCATCCTTTACAAAAATATCAATATAACATTTTTAACATTTATATAATCCTGATTTGCATATATCCTTCATTTAGGTAGTTATGATTACTGGAGATAATCCTTTGACAGCTTGTCACGTTAGTCGTGAATTACATTTTACAAAAAAACCAGTTACTCTGATTTTAACAAAAAACGATGGTGAATGGTTTTGGGAAAGTGTAGATCGAAAAACACGAATATCTTTAAGTTATAAAAATGTTGATTCAAAAGGTAGCGAAATTTGGAGAGAACATACGCTTTGTATAACTGGAGAGGTAATTTTCTTTAGTACTAAATCAATGATTTTTTTCTTGTTCTTTTAATATAGATTTTATTCCATTCATTCAGGGGCTCTCGTATTTGAATGAAAATAACATGAATCTTTTACGAAAGTTATTACCACATATTGTAATATTTGCTCGATGTGAGCCAAAACAGAAAGAGTTTATTATTGTTTCTTTACAATCATTGGGATATACAACATTGATGTGTGGTGATGGAACAAATGATGTAGGTGCATTAAAACATGCTCAAGTAGGTAAGTTGATAAAAAAAAAAAAAGAAAAAGAAAAAGAAAAAAAATTTCATTTTGTTAGCGCATTTTGAGTATTATATAATATTTTTTATGAAATCATATTTTTCAGGTGTTGCGATTTTGTCTAGTGCACCTGAAAGAGCATCAGAGAAACGAGAAAATTTGTCGGGTGGATCAAGTGGAAATACAAATGCAACTGTAACAAATACACCAAAAAGTAATGGACCCCGGATGAATATGAAACAACAATCTAATATGCAAACAAAAATACAAAAAATATTGAAAGATCTTAAAGAACAGGAACAATCTGTTATCATAAAACTTGGAGATGCATCTATTGCTGCACCATTTACAAGCAAAATGTCTTCTATTCAGTGTAGTGAGTACATTCATTAAAAAAATTTTTTGTTACATATACGCACACACACAATTAGATACTCTGATTAAAACGTGAATTTTTATGTTATAGTATGCCATGTAATTAAACAAGGACGATGTACGTTAGTTACAACATTGCAGATGTTTAAAATTCTGGCTTTGAATGCATTAGTACTGGCTTATAGTCAATCTGTTTTGTATTTGGATGGTATTAAATTCAGTGATGCTCAAGCGACTTTACAGGGTATTCTTTTAGCATCCTGTTTTCTATTTATATCTAGATCAAAACCACTGAAAACTCTATCTAAACAAAGACCACTGCCAAATATTTTTAATCTATACACTATTGCAACAGTGTTGCTGCAATTTGCTGTACATTTCTTTTGTCTTGTGTTTTTAGTAAAAGAAGCTACGCTTTTATCTGTAAGGTAAATAATTCGATTAAATATTTTTTAATTATAACGATTATATGTTAATTATATTATGAATAATAAATTTTTAATAATCAGGGATGATAAATTAACAGCAACTTTTGCTACCAATGCAGACGTAAATCAAAATGTTTCTATTGATTCTTCTAATAATAATGAAGATAAACCATTTGAGGCCAATTTAATTAATAGCACTGTTTATATAATAGCTATGGCACTTCAAATATCCACTTTTGCCATTAATTACCGGGTAATTAACGAAGAATATCAAATATTTCATTTATGCGTGAATATGCGAAATTAAAAAAATAATTAAAAAATTTTATAATAATATTTTATTTTCTTCTTTTCTTTTTTTTCTTTTTTTTTTTTATTATGCAAACGTTCATTTTATAGGGTCAACCATTTATGGAAAGTCTAGCACAAAATAAATCATTGTTGTACAGTCTCTTGGGTAGTTCTGCTGTTGTTTTATCACTAGCTTGTGGAATATTACCAGACGTAGCTTCGCAATTGGAAATTGTTGATTTTCCAAATGATGTAAGTATTTTTACGAGTACAGAAACCGCAAATATTAATTATGTCAAAATTATTACAGTTTCGAAGAGTTTTGGTTCAAATACTTGTGGCAGACTTTGTGCTTGCATATATTGCTGACAGAACGTGTTTATGGCTCTTTGGAGAGGGAAAACATAATAAATTGTGATGAGAACATTTTCTGAATAAGATCATAATTTATAAGGTAATACTTTTTACGCACGAGAAATAAGTCTCAATGGTCTTGTTTTATTGAGATAATTTGTCTACATACTAAATATTAAGTATCTCATGTTACCTAAAGTATAAACGTATTATTTTTTAAATGGATATATGTAGTGATTTAAAAAATAAGTAAGTTCGAAGAGAAGACGTGTATGTGTCAAAATTTTTATATATATGTATGTATGTGTGTATATGTATATATATATATATATATATATATATATGTACATATATGCATACATACATACGTATATACATATACACATATATATACATATATGCATACATACATACGTATATACATATACACATATATATACATATATGTATATATACATACATAAATATATATATTAGGGTGTCCTAAAAGTTTCTTTCTTATCGCGTTATGAATTGTGCAAATATACAGGTTGATCTATTAGCCGTATGTTATCGGTTTCAGTCGTCCTAGAGTCTTTTACAGTACGTTTCGTTCGTGTCACAGTTTTTTTTTAAACTTTCATCCACAGCGTTAAAAACGGGTAAAGAAAGGTGATATTTACGGTATGTTATGTTTTATTGTTTCAAAAAAGATGATAGTGTAAAGAATACTGTCGACAAGATTTGTACCATGTATACGGGGATGGTGTTATAATTATTGCAATCGTTTGCAATTGATTTAAAAAAATTTAGAGGCGGAAATTTTAATCTGAATGATGATGACTGGCAGCGGTCATCCAAAAACGACGGATACGGACCTTATTAAGGCCATGCTTGATGAAAATCCGCGATATAGTTTGCGCGATATAATGAATGCCATTAGGATTCTCAAAATAACAGTGCATAATCACCTAACTAAGATGGGATATGTTAATCGTTGCGAAGTTTGAGTTTCGCATTTACTGACAGAGACCACATATTGCATTAGCGATAAGAGAAAAGTTCTTACAGTTTGATTGGGATGTTTTATCACATTCTGCATACTCTCTAGATCTCGCTCCATCTGATTATTACTTCTTTCTGTTCTTAAAAAATTCTCTTCGCGATAAGCGCTTTAAATCCATTAGCGAAATAAAAGCACACCTCCAAGATTATTTTATTTATTGTCCGAAACACATCAATTTTGGAAAGAAGGCATAATGAAGCTTTCTGAGAGATGGAAGATGGTAATAGAGCAAAAGAGTTCTTTTATAACAAAATAAATAATATTTTAAACAGTAAATATCGTGTATTCATTACATATTAGAAAAAGGAAAGAAACTTATGGGACACCCTAATATACATATATATATATATATATGTCGAATGTACTTTTAATTCGCGCAAAAAAAAAAACGCAGGCGATGCAAATAGAGAATGGCATAATTCGATTATTTCTTTGTAAAATCAAGGAAATGTGATCTGTGAACATAATTTTATTATCTATTATGAATTTTAATATTCATAATGGAAAAACTAATAATAATTTTTATGTTTAAGAATACGGAATGAAATGATTAACAACGTCATGAAGAATATATGTAAAAATCAGTAATATTACATGAGGTAGCATACATCAGACATGAAAATTTTATTCCGTCGTTGGTAGCCTAATAATTTAATAAGACATTTTAATGGCATAAAAATAATCTCATCATTTTTCGAATTCATTTACGCGTTTTAAATAAATCAATCCTGATACAGGTATTGTATATCTTGCTATATTACTTTTTTTTTTTTTTTTACTCAAGACATTTTATAATATATTAATATATAATTAAAAGTTTCTGTATTTTGGATCGTAATTATTTAATATAATATTTAAGAATAATTACATAAAATGAACTGAAGTAACCAGCGTGCATTATTCGATCTCACAATCAATGAGCTATCGAACTGTAATTACTTTTTTTAATTCCATTAGATATTGTTTGCAATTTTTCACGTGAACACATTCCGTTCGCTTCATTAAAAAAAAAAAGAATAATTATTGAAGATGTAAATAACTTTAGAAGTTATTGTTTTGAAGTATTACGTTGTTATTTCTATTGTGGAATGCACTGGTTAATATATTTCATTGTATATAGTAACAATTGCATTCCAATCTTAAGGATAGTGTTACAAAATATCACGTTATGGACAAATTATTTGCCGATTCCAAATATGACAAAAATATGTGATATTAAAAATTTTGTTTTGAAATTATTTCAACATATTCATTCAAGGTTGTCGAAATTTTCTTGTTATTTTTTACCTTCATCAATCTTAGATATATTTTTATTATCAATCTGAAATTTATTCTTACACGAATATTATTGTACACTTATCCTTGCTTATATTTCCTTTCCTCTTTTGTTTTTTTTTTTTTTTTTTTTTTTTTTTAATGTATTACTTTGGGAACGACACTTCTTGTATATCATTGTAATATAAAGGTTTGTAATAAAAAGTATTCTTTGTTGTGAGTAAAGAAAAATCATTCAATCAAAATTATGAAAAATGTTAGTTTTACACTTTTACTTTATTGTAATTTTCATTATCGGTTTTGTTTAATAACTTTTTCATAAAATTTATTATCAACTTTAAATTTACCTAATATTTTTAAAATGATAAAAAATAATCTATTCTTTGGTCATGTTTTTAAATTATTGTTTTTAACTATTTCGAAGTAATGGAAGATTATTAGTTACCTTTGTGATAAAATTCCATTGGAATATATAACATAATAACTATAAAACATGTAACATACCAATTTTTAGGTCATGAAATTTTTCTATTTCTCAATTTATTGTACATTTTATTTATCATAATAACGAACATGTGCCATAAATTTTAATACAGTTTATTTGATGACTTATAAGAGATGATTTAATTATATTCTTTATAATATGAATTCTTATTAATCTATTATTAAAATAATAAGATATTGATATTAATATAAGTTTGGTGGTTTAACGAGCGCAGTATAATAGTACGTATATCCTAAAGTAAAATAAGAAAAGGAAGAAAGTCACGTGTAGTAAATTTTGTACATTAATATTTCATTCTATATAAATATCTATAGTTAATAACACAATTCTATTCGATAATCATAATTGAGTTACGAAACAAGAAATGAAACATTTGTGGAAATGTGATAAGAAGATAAAATATCTATGGAAGGACGTAAGAATTGTTATATTTTTAATTGGACATTTATACATTGAATTTATCGTTTCAACTTTAGATGATTGCAGAAAACGTCTATTCCATAGGATCACGAATTCTTTGTTAATATTTTTAACTAATAAATAATTAAGACAATAAGAATATGATAGAGATAAATAGTTATAGCGATACTCCTCCTACGATGTCCTAACATTATTCTTGATTGGTCTGAATCATCTATTACTTACCAACCAACGATAGTTGCAAGTAAAAGATAGTCTTTATTATCATCGTCATCGTTGTGCCTTTTCGTTTTCTTTGGTAGAAAACGAGCGAGGATCAATGTCGACGAAGATTCGATTGTGCAACTCAGTCGCGATCGAGTCGAGAGAGTAGCAATCACTAGATAGATCGTTGTAGCCATTCCAACGTGAACCATCGTGAACCATCGTGAACCAAGATTTCTTTGCCTCGTGATCGTTTCGTTTAATCGATCTTTGATGTGCGAGTGAATGGGTGTTTAAGTTTCTTCTGCCATAAACGCGTCTATTCTTACACAGGAAAGAAATAAGTTTATTTTACTATAATCGTTTAATACAAGGATCGTAAATAAGATAAAGTAGAAATGATCTTTCTCTCTTTCTCTCTCTCTTTCTCTCTTTCTCTTTCTCTTTATGTTGTTTGATAAATATATGTATATTGCAGAAGTAATGTTTCAAATATTTTATTATGGATCAGTAATTGGTTTTATTATGTTTATTTCAATAGATTATTTTTATCGTAATATTTAATAGTGAATTTTTTTACGATTCGTTTGATTCGAGAATGACGGATAGAATTGGTAAATAGAACCTATAGTGATTGACTATTGTTCCATAATATTCTGCGATATAAATATATCAATAAATATATCGTTCTAATGACTGCAGAAGCAATTTAAACGTATTATATTCCTTGCCACTTGCCATTTTTTTTTTTTATCTTATAAACTTTATTATGATTCTATCTGGAACGCATCATTCATAAAAAAAAAAAGAAAAAAGAAAAAGAAAAAAAAAAGGAACGAAAAGATGTGAAGATATTTTGATAAGTAAATACGAAGAATCCATAAAACTATTCTATAAGTGGTCACACAGAAAAATTGGATCGTATATTGTTCAATAATGTAAATTATATTCGAATCAAAAAAGAAAAAGAAGAAAGAACTAAGAATAAATTTTATCTGGAAAAAATGTATACTATATAGTATACTTATATACACGTGTTTCCTGAGTAATTCGCTTATCGATCGTAGATCAAGGTCGTTTTGAAATCGTTAAACTTAATATACTAACAACATTCTCAGATGTAAAGCAAAATTGTGATTACAGTATCGTCGAAAATTCAACGATCCTTAAGTAACAAAAGTTTGCTTGACCGCAAATATATTCAATTGTATTAGAGTTACATCTTCTAAATATAACGAGTATTATTAATAGAATATAATGGTAAGTATATTTATCGACTAATGGTCATGTCGTAATTCATAGATCATTTCAGTCGGTAATGATTCTATCCATTTTATATATCGTATGATATTCCAGATTAAAAAACTCTAATCCTTTTATTTGAATGTTACAAACTTATACGTAAAAACTATTAATATTTGTTAAAAAAAAAATATTACTATATGAGATTATTATTTATTTTCATTTAATTGGATCGTATTGATATAGAATAAAATTTTATGTTGCCTTCCGTTTTAGCTACAATCGGTAATAATTTTTTCACCTTTTGTACAATTTCTTTATTTTCAAATTGAATATTTATATATGAAATATTCTCCTTGTCATTTTATTTTCACGACTGAAAGAAAAATATTTCTAACTGATATATTGAAAGTTGTTAATTCTTAGTGATCATGGTCAGGCTAAAATTAGACATTTTTTTTATGACGCATGTAGAAGCAATAGAAGTGGGAGAAATCTTAAGAAGGAACAATCGGTGATATTCTATTAGAAAATGTGAGCTTGACAATTGAAGGATTGTAAATCGAAAGAATAAATTGTGCATTTCATCTGGACATTTTTACTGCGAGAATGATTTAATTAAATCATTGTCCTATATATGTAGAATTCACAAGCGTTACTTGACATAAAAATCATCAATTTGGCTTTGTTAACATTTCACATTGTCATTCTTTACGTTCTAATAGAGTTCATTAATCGTATATTGTTATTTGTACAAATGATATTAATTTTTACGATTTTCTCCTTGAAATATTGATTACTTTATTAATCAACTTATTTTAATCTTGAAAAGAAATTCCGTCCGATAAGAACGCAATCATTAGAAAATATTATGTTGTTCCTTTATCATTATTCATTTTATTCTACTGGGTAAAATTAATGATTCGATAGTTATTTATTTAAATTGATGACGTCATAAGAAAGATCTGAATATATATTGATATTTTTATTCTCTCTCTTTTTTCGCGGTTTTTCAAGATGTCCGTGAATAGTTCAGAAAAAGGACACTTTCATTGGGTTGATTGGCTAGTTTTTACCATTATGCTAACCATATCCGCCGGCGCTGGCATTTGGCATTACAAGAGTGCACAACAATCTTCCGTAGAGAATTATTTGCTCGGTGGAAGAAAACTTAGACTTTGGCCAGTTTCTGCATCTCTAATTGCCAGGTAACGGCCAACAGTTCTGATTTTGTTGAAATTCATTTATAATTTCATCATCGATATAATTAAATATGCTTATATGAATTTTGCAAGCATATTTAATTTATAATTTTTAAAAAAGGAAAACGTTTATCGACTAGGTCGATTAATGATATCATTAAAAAGTATCGGGATTATTATAAAGTTTTTTTTTTTTTAAATTTATAGTTTCATATCTGGGGTAACAATTGTTGGAGCTCCTGCAGAAATTTATAATTTTGGTACACAATATTGGATCACCGTGATATCTTTGCTTTTCTCCGGAATAGTCGTTGCAAACATTTATTTGCCGGTCTTTGTAAACTTACAATTAAACTCGGCATACGAGGTACGTCTTTAAATATTAGATCATTGTAAATTTATACGAATGCGTGTAATATTGTATTATCCTTTTTTTTTAGTATCTGGAAATAAGATTTAACAAGGGCGTTAGAATTTTAATATCACTGATATTCGTTTTCGATGCAGTAAGTATATCTTTTTTATGAATATTATGTTTTACTTCCTTTGTTTTTTTTTTTTTTCTTTTCATTAAAAACATATTTTAGGTTCTCTACCAATCGATAGTAGTTTACATACCTGCGTTGGCATTAAATCAAGGTAATTTCACAAATATTTCTTTGATAGTTAAATTAAATTATTATATATCTTTAAAATATTAAAAAATGTACGCATTCAATAGTTATTTGTTTTGATCATAATATTCTTAGTATAATTTCATTTCACATACAAATGATCAGCTTTTAAAAATATTTATTTATTAAGTACCATATCATTTCTGCAGCATTCATTGCAATTTATATAATGTAGCTTAATAAACATTTCATCATTTTGTTATTCTAGTAAGTGATATCAACACGCACATCATCGGCGCCATTTTATGCGGAGTGTGCGTCTTTTACACGGTTCTTGTAAGTTATCTTTCAATTTTTAAATATCATAAAGAATTTATATATAATATTAATGACACAAAGGATGGAATTGTTATAAATCTGTCTTATTTAAATTTCTTATTACCATCCTGTGACTTTGATAGTATTTTGCATGATTAATTAAATCAGTATCAATAGATCAATAGACTTTTTCATTATTTCCAATTTCAATTACACGTTTGTGAAAACGTCGAGGATCAACGTGTCATCACGTGAGTTATAACGTTGTCAAAATTTTCTTTCTAATGCTTCCGGTGTATAGCTTCCTGTTAAGTTGTAATAACCATAAGGGATCGAGCTAGTTTAGGAGGATAGTCTTCTTCGTCAGCGAATTCTCGTTTGCGTGGTTCGAGTTCCTTCGACCTGCCGAGGGTAGAAAGAGAAAGAGAAGAGACAGAGTGAGAGAATGAATGAGGATGAAAGGGAGAGGGATGAGGAAAGGGCCCCGGAGGAAACAATTTTCGGTGGACAATGCCGCGAAGAATCTCGTGCGAGCACGGGCGAAATGTTTATGGACGGAAACTGAAAAGGTCGACAATGGCTCGTTGAAACAATGGCGTCGAGTGGTGTGCGCTTGTTGGTCGGTAGTAGCAGATCACAAAGCCAGCCTTGAAGTGATTAATAGCGGCTACCTACCTACGAAGGCCTGCGTAATTATCCAAGCAATTTGTTCGACGGAGATATTAATGAGAATTTATCGCGAACGAGTGATTCCTTTGATCGTTTAGATCGCTACGACAACCGATCACATGATCATACCAACAATTCTTTGTCTTTTTTTGTTTAGGGTGGCTTAAAAGCAGTAGTTTGGACTGATATGCTTCAAGTTATAATAATGATCCTAGCCATGATCATCGTGACTGTGTTAGGCACTTGGGAAGCCGGCGGTCCATCCGAAATATGGCAGAAGGCGCGAGAAGCTAATAGAATAGAATTTTTTAAGTAAATTCAATTTTTCTTTTTTCTTTTTTTTTCTTTTTTTTTCCTTTTTTTTTTCTTTCTTTTCTTTATCTTTTTATAATAATGTACAGTGATTAGACTAAAGAATTTCCATATATTTCCTTTTTCAATTTATTAGCTTCGATTCTTCTCCATATACAAGACACACTGTCTGGAGTGTTTTAATTGGTTCTTGGCTCTATTCTACGGCGTACATCGCCGTAAATCAAACGATGGTCCAACGGTATATATCATTGAGAACTATGAAGACATCTAAATTGTAAGTGAGTATACCAGTGAGATCTTTTTTGATTGATCATATTACAATTCAGTTTTATCGAAATGAAATGAAATGTAAATATATGTATGTTTGCAGAGCTATAGGGATATCTATTATTGGCATAATTATTTTTATTTCGCTATGTTGCTGGTGTGGATTGGTTCTTTTAGCTTGGTGGTCACCACCAAAATGTGATCCAAGAGCTACTGGTTTAATTACGGCCGATGATCAATTACTTCCAGCTTTCGTAATGCAAGCTGCTGGTTATTTGCACGGTATACCTGGCCTTTTCATTGCTGGAATTTTTGGGGCTGCCCTTAGGTATTTAAAATTGAAATTTTGCATAAATATCACTCATATAGTGTGTATTTTTTAATTGATATATCTTTAACATATTTGTTTCAGCTCTCTATCAGTAGGATTCAATTCCACTTCTGTAGTTCTTTTAGAAGACTTCGTGAAGAGTTGCTTTGGTCTACAACCAAGCGAACGTTGTTCAACGATTTTAGTTAAAAGTATAATTATCTTACTTGGTTTATTCGCATTGGCTTTTGTCTTTTTCATCGAAACATTGGGAGGCATTTTAGTGGTCGGTATACAATAATTTTCTGATTAGATGTTTTAAATAAGATAAATAGAAAGAGTATTGATTTGGAGATAATTTTTTTTTTTTGTATTAATAATATTGATATTTGTGTAGGTTACAAACAGTTTAGCCGCAATTGCCGCAGGAATTTCCTTTGGAGTCTTCACTCTTGGAATGCTTTTTCCATGGACTAATTCTCAGGTAATAAATTAATTAAAATGATTATTTGTTATTTTGAAAAAATATATGTAATATAACATTTTAATTTTCTTACTTTTAGGGTGCATTCGTAGGTGCCGTTGTGGGATTTTTAATAGCTGGTTGGGCATGTTTCGGAGCAAATATATCGATCAGTGCCGGTGTCATAGTACCTAAGAAGCTTCCGGTACCACTTGCTCAGTGTCCAGGAAATATAAGTCAAGCTTTCCTAAATCAATTTGTTTATCATAAGTAAATAAATTCAAGTAGTTAAGAAATTTTTTTTATTACGAATATTTACTTGTAATTATATTTTCTATTTTCAGCGAAGATGATGTTTTTGCTCTTTACCTATTGTCCTATCATTGGTTTTCCGGATTGGGTACGCTTATAGTAATTGTAGTTGGAGGAATAGTCACTTGGTTGACGGGACCAAAGGATCCTTCTTATATCGATAGAAAGTTGCTCTCTCCAGTAATACATAGGTACATATATTTTTACAAATATTCCATAATTATTTAGTAATATGAAATGATTCATAGTTAACATTTGTCTTAATCTTTAGGTGGTTACCTTATCCAAAATATCAGAACGAGGAATGGTATCGATCAACGACTGAACCCCAATCTTCGGTAAATCTTTTATTAAAAAATCTACCGAACAAATCCAAACATAATGATACGTTCAAAAAGGTATAATTATTTTGTAACATAGCTTCAAAGATTTTTTTTTCTTTAAATATGCATTATTTGGGATTTAATTTTGAATTGCTTTCAGAAAGAGAATCAAAATGACGTAGCAGTTTCTTGACTATATTGAAATGCTGTAAAAATGTATAAAAAATATCGCTTATATTGATTTTTTAATTTTTTATTACGTAGAATGTAAATGTAATGTTAGAATCTTAATGACGCACTAACATAGTGGGTATATAATGTTATAAAAAGAGAACGAAGTGTGAGACGAAGGAAAAATATATTTTTATATGTTCGTAAATAATTTATACACCATCATTACGTTTTCTTTTCATTTGAACATTCGGACTTTATTTCGAACTAACCTAAATTTTGTGGAATCAGTTCAAGATTTAAGAATAAGTCGATTTATTTCTTCGAAAGATAAGTTCAGTAAACTTAAGTTTAACGTACTAGGGAGTGCGTTAAGAACAGGACGAAGAGTAGCATGTAGGAGCGATGGTTCTTCCTATAGAGGAATAGCAACATAGCCAAAGAGCTAAGGACTCGTCCTGTCAAGTAGCGTGTTCCTGGTCGAGCGGTCCACTCGCTTCACACCGAGTTCTCTAACTGAGTTTATTCGGTTTTCAAGCTTTGGTGATTCCCGACGGTAGCTACCATGTGAAAGACGAGAGAGAGAGAGAAAGAGAGAGAGAGAGAGAGAGAGAGAGAGAGAAGATTCGGACGACGATGACGATGGGAGAGGCAAGGCCCCAGGATATTAGCCGGCTTGTTAAGGGAAAGCCAACGCCGTCAAACGTCCTTATTAAGGCCACGCAAATAACCCGGCCGCTCTCTTCGTTCACCTACATGAACCTCCCTCTCTCTTTCACTCTCTCTCCATCTCTCTCGTTTTCTACCCCTCTACACACTTCCCTGACGTTGGAAATTCAATTTTCGCCGACCCGAAATGCGGTCGGTCAAAAGCGGCGCCGTCAGGTTCGATATTGTTCGCACCACCGATCGTGTACCTTTACTCAACACGCTTCGCCAGTTTTTGCCACGAGTTTGCTCGGATCGCGTTGTTGGCGAAGCTTGTTTAACGATGGAGGGAGGTGCGAAATCGGCAATGTGACATTATCCGTTTCTGGGAATGAAGTAATCAAGTACTCGATCTTATCTTTTCATTTTGTTCTGTTCTTTAAATTTTTGTGTTCAATCGTAGCTATTTACCTGATCTTATCAGATGATTATTGAGTTTATCATTGATAAAAATCAAATCTAAACGCGGACTTATCGTTTCAAATAAACCGATAGATCAGAAGGTACTGATATTAGAAATATGCATCGATTTTCTTCAAGTTCTTCGAAAATTAATGTATACTATTCAGAGACACCCCATATACCGGATTTTATGTGTTCTGCGTTTAATCATATTGAAAGCTCTCACTTGGACGAGTCAATATTTCTCAGAGAGAAGTGACTGAGAATACGGTTCTCACTGGGAAGGGTCCGATCGATACCCTCCGATGGTACGACTTAGATTTGACGTTCGTCCAATTTGTCTGAGCGCGTCAGGTTCCATCCACTACGCTTAGGTATCGACTACTCTATCTGCACTCACTCTTACCACAGATCTCTCTCTCTCTTTCTCTCTCTCTTTCTCTCTCTCTCTCTCTCTCTCTCTCTCTCTCTCTCTCTCTCTCTCTTCGCGACTAGTGGCTTATCTATTCGGATAATATTGACCGCGTCGAAAACGTTTTGCATCAAAGTGCATTCGTCGATCTGTAAATCAAACGATTACGTCAATTTTCCAATATACATATCATAAAATACCAACGTGATACACGACCTATCATATTTCATTAAAATTATTGATATTTTCTAAAAGATCATTGCTAGACAAGATTAGTGTTATTAAGACTTTTCGTTCCTTATCTCTGATGTAAATGCCGATCAAAAATCTATGAGACACAATTCTAAAGAAGAATAGGGAAAGGAGAATAGTAGGTTTATCGGAATTTTTCAAAAATCGATTTTCCCATATCTTCTTTTTCTCTCTTTCTTTCTCTTTCACTTTTCTTCCTCGAGGGGTTGAACCATATTAAAAACGTCTCGTAATTATAATGAGTAACGGCGGAACCTTTCTCTCGTAGGTCGACGAAAACGCTCGAAAGGCCGGTAGTAGAGCGCATTACGTGAGCGTTTCATTAAAAGCTTTCGTGAGTGCGCGCGCGAGCGCACGAGCACGAGCATGGCAGCACACGTTGGAAAGAAAATTGCGACTTGCGGAGGCTGCGTGCGAAGCTTTATTAAGCGCGCTTCATGCGCGATTTGCATTCGTCTGGGTCGGTGATAGATTTGAAATTTCCACGTAGAACGTGCGTTGGATACCTATATAGGGCCGAGGATTCGAACCGAGACGAATGGTACGTCGCGTGGAGAAGCGTACCTACGTAACCACCGTGCGTGATTGTGTCTCTCTACCTTTCTACGTATACGTATGTGTGTGCACATCAATGTGTTGGTATATGTGTGCACGTGTATGTCAGTGAAAGAGGGGGAAAGAGAGGAGGCAAACGAGGAGAACGATATAGATGGAAAGAGTGAAAGATAGCTAGGTGAGGGAAAGAGAGAGAGAGAGAGAGAGAGAGGGAGAGAGGGAGAGAGAGAGAGAGATGGAGGATATAGAGCGAGATGTGGATAGAGTGAGGTCGTGAAGCTTGAATGGGGCTAGTTTGAGATAGTTAGCGGGCCTTCAGAGGCACAATCGGCCGCGATTGGCGGGCCTACAATCACACGTCGCATTATATGTCCATCAACGCGGCGGATCTTGCAAATACGTTAGCGGACCAAAGCCAACGGGTTAGCAGCCACAAAAATCTTGAATTCGAAGCGACATTATGGAGGATCTCGTATGGTTATAGAACGGGTCAGGTTCGAGTCGATCTAATATATATCTGTAGATAGATAGAGACAGTTTTTGAAGATCTTGTCGAGAAATCTTGTGGTCTTATTGATGTTACTGATGTCCTGTCCTGGTGTAAATGTTCAAATATGAATTTTCAAAAATAATTCGATTTTATGAGAATGGCTGAAAATTTTTCAAACTTTTGAATCTTTTTTATTACAACATACTTATTAGAAATTGAAGAAAAGATTAAAGAAATATTTTCCAATGTAATTGCTTTGGCCTTGTTGAACAGAGGCCACAGCTGCGAAGGAAATAATCTTGATACACCCTATTAGAGATAGAAATCGTCGGGCAAATATTGTATCTTCCTAATCTCGTACTATCGTCGCACTATCTTGGAATTATCATACAGTACGAATCGAATTCTTTTGGGAATTAATTGGCTTCGCGCCGAAGGTAGGTTTTCTCTTTGAGATTCGGATTATCCTTTGCGCGGTAAGTAAACGAGAATATTTGTAATTCTTGCTTGCACTGCAGCATATAACCTCACGAAGAAAGTGCATTTACGTATGTGTGGATTATTTAGTAAGTAATAAATATTGAATATTAAACTTCGTTAATTCAATTTTTACCTTATACGTTTTTTTTTTTAAATACTCTAATCGTGTATTCTACATACGATTCACAAATTTGCGATTTAGGAGTCGAAGGAGTCGAACCAGATGCAAACAAGCGTGATTATCCGGTAACCTCAGATCAAATGTGGTGGTGTGCACGAGACTCAGGAGAGGGTTGAGGGGCTAAGAGAGGGACTCGAGCGACTAACGGAATAACTAATTTATCAATTCTTCGGTTCGGTTGGCTCCGATACCCCTGGCTATATTTGCGAATTCGTGCAAACGAGGACTTCCAATTCCCAAGGTGCATCGTCGTCTTGTTTGGACACGAGAAGGACCCCAGAAAGCTTCGGCTTACGAGATGTCAATACGCTATAAGTGACGGCGGTCTATGCGCGCCGAACCAGAAAGCTTTCAATGATTGTACAAAGTATTAGGACGAATTCATTATTATGACATTTACTATCACGAGACACGATAAAACTATAATATCCTATTATAAGATTGTGGATGATTGATCTAACATTTCTTTTTAGGAGATACAGAAGTGATGTCATTATTTTATTGAGTGATTTGTGTCAACACTTCATCTTAGATCTGAATTATGACAGCGTAGAAATTTTATCAATACTAATAATCAGTTAAGATTCAATTACTTTAGAATTATAATACTGATCTATTCTGTTCCAATTTGCAACACTTCATTTAAAAAGCTAATCCTCAAGAGAATACTACATCTCATATTTTAACTTGTTATCGTACCGTGCGTTGGCGCCACCGAAGCTATTTCACAGTTCAATCAATATAACATGTCGAATTATTTAAAAAATTTTTCTATTGATTCATAATATCAATGAAATATTCACTAACGATAGAATAGTCCGAATTTTCATGACAGAAATAATAAATGAAATCCTATTTCTTCGTTGTTAACTCAGAGAAGTTAGCTACTTAAGGAGTAAGGAGATGGTGGGTGGTAGAGTGCGAACGAGATTCGTTCGCAGAACTTGAAAATTCATGGCGCGTATCGTTCTCGACTCCAATGGTCAATACAAATAGATATGCTTGTAATTAGAACGCAATTTTGATTGAAAATGTAAGTTTTGTTGACACGCAATTCACGGTACGATAATCAAACGAATATGCTCATATATTTCCCGCAAATTGTGTTTTCGTTTAATATTTGGTATTACAAAATTTTGCGATCAAAGTGAGAGGAAACGTTGGAGTATGGGAAGGGGGAAGAGATGGAGGTAATATTAATTGAATAGTAACAGGGATATCATCATCCTGGATAATATTAATTGAATTCCTGAATCCACAGAAATGATTTATATAATATTTGAGAATATAACAATTTCAAGATAATTTGTGTGATGGATGAACGTAATTGTGGACATATATAAAAAATACACCTTAATTTATCTTTCTTTCGTGTCAGTAAGTTTGCGATATATATCTGCGTATTGTGTAATAAAGTTAACTCGTAATCGTTAAAAATTTTATACCACAGTTCTTAAGATAGGCAATTAATCAATCAGCAATGCATCAGAATAATTATCACCGTACGGCGAATAACATTATCAGATGTGTAAAATGAGATAACGAAGACTATAAAAAATATGAATTATTGTTACATAGAAAAAGAAAAGACTGGTGAAAAAACGAAGATAGAAAATGTCGTGTACGAAAAAAGGAAATTCTTCCCAAACGAGAATGCAAAAACACTACGAATTATACCAATCAATATTCTTCAGCTAATCCTTCGGGAATCCTGATCCTCGTGTCACA